CAAATCTTTCTTTTGCAAGTTTAAAGAGGTGGGTTAAGGTGGATTTTTTGGAAAAGATTATTGAAACAAAAGCCAAGCTGCTTAGGCTCTAGGATTCATTTGGTTTTCTCTTGGTGGAGAAATGGGTGCACATTCTTGGTCAGCATCTTCTGTAAGGTGATCTAGACTGTTTAGGCCCTTAGCTATCTGGTAGTGTGAGAAAACGTGGAGGCTGTAGATGCAGCTTTTAGATAACAAATGTAACCGCAAGTCAGTAGGCTCTGAATTCATTGTGCTGACAAGGCTTGTCTGCTTTGTTTAGTCCAGAAGCTGTGAATTATGTAACACAGTAGCTTATTTGACTTCATATTCCTTCTCTTTAGGACTTGTTTCCCCGAGTGGTTCTTGTTTGCCTGGATATTACTGCACTTTAAAGGCACAGGTACCCAAACCTGCCAATGATGCCACTGGTGGCCTTTGCCCAGCAGGCCATTACTGCCCAGCAGGCAGCAGCGAGCCACAGCCGTGTCCCTCTGGCATGTTTTTGCCTCAGTCTGGGATGGCTTACCATAATGCCTGTCTGCCCTGCCCAGGAGGAAAGTTCTGCCAAGGAGATGGCTTGATGAGCATTTCTGGTGTGTATTGACTGGATTGAACATCTTTAATGTGGGTATTTTAATGCTTTCTGGGTGCTCATCCCTAACACAGCAGCTTTTCTTTCTTGCAGGATCGTGTTCTGCTGGCTATTTTTGTGATGGTGAATCCACACGGCCAGACCATAAGCAGTGTCCCCCGGGCTTTTACTGTCCTGAAGGCTCTGAATCCCCAGTTCCTTGCAGCCCTGGTCACTTCAACTCTGAGAGAGGAAAGTGGCAGCCAGCAGACTGTCAGCTCTGCCCAGCTGGGTATTTCTGCAGTGGTGAGTGCTGATGTATTTGAGAGCTGGGATTTGCACAGTGTAAAGTGGGGCAAGGTAGGTGCATCTACAGCTTTATTCTGTACAGCTCATATAACATTCACCAAGCATAAACACCCTGTATTATTTCACTTCCAGTATTTCTGTGGGGTTTTTCATAGCACCCGGAACACCACTTGCTATTCTATGTCGTCTTTGTTCCTTGGCTCTGACACTTTTTGTAGATGCGTCTTAAAGGAGTTCAGACTCTCTGGGAAACAAAACAGCCTGGCAGACAGGTATTTGGTGCAGCTCTCAGCCAGGGTCTGCTCTGAGGCAGCTGCTCAGAGGTTCTCACAGTCTCTTTGCACAATATATGTATTTACTCCCCCCCACGATGCTGAAGTATATGAGGTCACACTGGTGGTAACAGATTCACCTGCCCCTTCCATAAGACAAAGAAGCTTTTCCCCTTTCTCAGGTGGGAAACTGGAATAGGAGAGAAGGGAAAGCTTAACTCGCATGGGTTTGTAGCAGAGCTGGAACCACAAGCGAGCTTTCCAGAAGTACAATTGCACGTGGAAGCCCACGTTTCCTACATGCATATAATTCAAAAATTGCCTTTCCTTTGTACTAAGATGTTCTTTGTCTGAGGCTGAAATTTGGGGAACACATTCTTTCTGATATTGGTGACAGGTGAATGATGAAGGGGCTTGTGCTTTCAGGAGGTAAGGGTTTTCTTTTGTCTTTGATCTGAGAAAGGAAAGGAAAAAGCTGTGCTTTCAAAGTTGCAGGACTGGGCAAAATCACTTCCAAGGGAGCATGTTCTGCAGGTACTGCTGCCTGCCTGGCCAGGCTTCAGCTACTCCCACTCCCTATCGCTGCCCATGGGGCTGCTACTGTCCCAAGGGATCTGCCTTTCCTGTGCCCTGTGAGAATGGGACCTATCAGTCATGGGAGGAGAGGGATTTAGGGAGTCTAGCAAAAGTAGGGCTGTGTATTGTGATAAAAATTGATTTTGTGTCACTGAGAGCTGAGTCTCACTGAGACTTATCAGGACAAAAAGGATTTTGAATTGCTTCCTTCTTTCTGTTAAGGTTCTACTGAGTCAGTGTTGGATGGGACTAGACAAACAGAAGCATCGGTATTTGCCAAGAGTGGAAGCCAAAACAGGCTTCTAAGAGTAAGAGGTTGTTGAAAGAGTAAGGAGAAGCCAAATCTTTCTCCTCTTTAGGGCAAAGAAACTTAATGCCCAGGAAAATACAAGGGAGCTTTTCCTGTCTAGCAGCTCATGCATGCTACAAAAAAAACAAACCCACAAGAAATACAGCTGCACAGACGTGATTCTGTTCCCTAGACGGGATCACTCGAATAAAACTTCACACAGCTCCTTTGTAGACATCTGTACCTGAGCTAGTTTTTTGTACTCCTGTAGTCAGTGGCAAGAGGCACTTCAGGGCTGCAATTTGTCTCTCTTATTTTACTTGTCTGCCTTAGGATGAGATGAATTGCACTTGAAGTGCGGTTCCTCTAGAAGTGCTGTTTCTCTCCAGTTACTGCAACATGGTTCTGAACAACTGCATCAGAAGTACACACAATGGAGCCCACGTCCTGGGTTTAGCTTGAATACGTTGATGGAGAATGACATTGCTTGTCGTGTCTTATAATGTTTCCTGAGCAAGATGCTGCTTTTTGTATCCTAGGTTCTGGAGCCCACACTCCTGAGCTGTGCCCTGCTGGGTACTTCTGTCTGCCAGGTACCAACTTCAGTACAGAGCATCCATGTCCAAAAGGTACCTTTGGCCCCAGGACTGGTGCCACCAGCAGCTCTGACTGTGAGCCCTGCCCAGCAGGTAAGCTGGGACTCGGCACAAAAAAAAAACATGGAGGGCATAAATGGAAAGGTTGAATAAAAATATGGCTTCCTTCAGGTTATTGACTCCTTCACCTATCTTCTGTGCTGGCCATTTCAGTGAGATCACTTTCCTGTTTATTTTAGGCATGTATTGCTCAGCACCAGGTCTTTCACAGCCCTCTGGATTTTGCTACTCAGGTTACCATTGTGCCAAGGGAGCCATCAGCCCAACCCCTTTCAAAAACAGGGTGAGTGAGCAAGCACTGGCAAACAGCACAGTTAACCTTGCATCCTGAGGACAAGGACTGAGACCCTCACAATGTTGTGGCTTCTGGTGTTACATTTTCCAAGTCTTACTGCTTTGCACAGGGTTGCTCTTTCCCACTGCTGCTGCCTTTGGTAGCTGCTCAGATGAACTGACATGCTGCTCTTAATGTCTGCTGGAATATCTTGCAGCCTGCTAACAAGCGATGGCCAGACATCCATTTCTGTAGGTATCACTGGAGTGTGCCTGTCTCAGGTCTCTTCCACACAATGAGAGCAGTGACTGGGTAGCTGTGGCTCAGCAACCAGCACTTCCAGTGCCCTTTTTGTGCCAGCTGTGGTCTGCATTTAGTTTCAGTGGCAGAAAACTTGAAGAATTCAGCCCATATGTACCCTTTCCAGAACCTGTCTCTGTAGTACTTTGGGCAAATCTTGTTTCGATAACATTTTTTTTTTTCCCTCTGTTTCTGTTGGTTTGTTTCTTTTTCCTCACGCAGGTGGAATTTGCTGGCTCTGTGTTGCCTGGTAATGATATCTGTCCTGCAGGGCATTTCTGCCCCAATGGAACTGAGAATCCCATGCCTTGCCCTCCTGGGTCCTTCTCTGCTGTCAAGGGCCTGCAGGCAGAAGAGCAGTGCCAGCCCTGCCCTGCTGGCCGATATTGCAGCAGGGCAGGATTGTTTGATCTGGCTCAGACGTCGCTGTGCAATGCGGGGTGCGGTGAGACTGTTACTTGCTAGTGGGAAAATACAGCTGGCAGGGTTGCTGTGTAGGCTGGAGCAGAGGGGCATCCAAACTAAACACTGGGCTGAATATATCTTGCCCAGTCCCTTGTGTGCAAATATTTACAGTGAAAAATAACTAAACTGCAAAGCGTTTGCTCTGAGCTCTCTACGTTACATGCTGCTGTACGGCATCTGCTTGGTGGTCCTGGCATGTGCTTCAGAGCCAGTTCTCCCTATTTGTTTGCCTCACGTTCTGCCCCAGCCTTGTACACAGCCTTTTACTGTTTTTACTGTAGGCTTAATTAATGACAAGCTCTTTATTTACCATAAAACATGCTTGCTGTGAATTTGCATCCTTTTTCCCCCCTGTTTTCTCTCTGCTCCCACCAGGTGGTGCAATAAGCAGCGACAAGGAAGCAGTGCTGGCATCAGCCAAACAGCAAAGTGCTGTCAGCAGTATTTGCCCATCTCATGAGTGTGCGTTGTAGCAAAAGGCCACGGAAGCTCAGTTCCTTTAATCTGTGAAAGGAAAGCTCAGAAGTGATCTCAATACAGTGCATGTAACAGGATTTGGTAGGAAAAGATTTCTGATAGCTAACAGCTCTTGAATCTGTTTTCTGAAGAAAATCACAACCGCTGCTCAGTATAGCAGGCCTTGATTCTGAGTGAACAACTGCTGACAGGCAGCTTTGCTGTCCTTTTGCTTGATGCTGCTCCTTTTAGCAGTCATTGCCTCAAGGACTATGAATTGCTTCTTCTCTAGAAGCTGCATCCACGGGATGCAGTGAGATCATGGCTTTCAGTTCCTTCCTGCTCAGTTTTCAGAAATGATAATTTTTTTGTATTTCCTCATCCTTCATGAGGGGAGTGGTAAAGGGAGACGTAGCATAGAAATAGGTGACGTTAATGCAGAGGCCAATGAGAATATTGAAGGGAAACTAAGCAGAAACAGCAGGAGCTGAACACTTGGGCTTTGTGCTTTGAAATAGTCTAAAAACTTAATTTTTCAAAGACTTTTACCAGAATGATGAGAATACCTTCCAGACAGCTTAGTGAGGGGTGGGGAAGAAGAAAAAAAAAGAGGATTCTACAAGGATTTACACATGGATATTAAATTGGTAGGTTAGGGCACGGGAGGAGCCCAACTGAAATAAAACACATCTTTAAGGAGTGTTTCTTAACTTGGTGACCTTTGGTTAGTACTCCCCACATCTGCTTTTTCTGAACAGGGTTGTGGGCCCTTGGTTCCAGCACAGAATTTTCTTCTTATAGGTATGTTTGTCTGGAAGGAAGCTCTGCTCCCTGCCCTTCTGATGGGGTTTATGGATACAGATGTCCTAGTGGCTTCTACTGTCCTGCTGGCACTGGACTAGAGCTGCCCTGTGAGCCTGGCACCTTCAGCCCTATGCCTGGGGCAAGTACTTGCCTCCCTTGCCCAGCTGGTATGGCCTGCAGCCATGCAGCCACTGCAGAGCCACTCAGCTGCCCCAGAGGTAAGCAATAATATGTGCCACAAAACCACTGGCGTGCAATCAGAAGTGTAATGGGTGCCTGCACACCTCTTTCTGTCTGACCATAGCAGTATGGGAATGGGAGATTTGCAGTTGGGAGAAGCAAGATCAGCATTCCTGCTTATTCTTTCTTTATTTTCTGAGCAGTGCCTCATTCACCTCTCACTGTACAGGTTATTATTGTCCAGCTAGGACTGCTGCTCCCCTGCCGTGCCCTGAAGGGACACTGAATACCATGGAGGGGGCATTGGCCCCCACTGCTTGCAAGCTGTGTCCAGTGGGGAGGTACTGCAGAGGAGATGCTAACTGGGAACCTGATGGTGAGTTTGATTCAGAGCTCTTCTTTCTGTCCATTTAAATACCTCCCTGGCCCTATTTCTTATGTTTGTGGCTGTTGCTCGACTAAAATGCAAAGGTTAGGTATATGAGCAGAAGAAAAGCAGAACTGTTTCCATGGAAAGAAGTTTATCCACAGAATCTATGAACAAGTTTGAGTCTTAGGAATAGTTTAAGAAAAATAAATAAAAATACCAGATGAGGTCAGTGCATGTAAAGAAGGGAGGTGATGAAGGCCTCAGATGATGGAGGAGGAGAATCAGACCGAAGTTGAACAGTGCAGGATATCAGAAGAGCTGTAAAATGAGCCCAGGATGGGATTCAGCTTCTCTCCTCCTTCTGAGGTTTTAAGGAGATGCTTCCATCCTTTCCAGTGACCATTTCATTACCCTCTCTGCTCTCCCGTGGCAGGTCTGTGTTCAGCTGGGTACTATTGTGAAGGAGGAGCCACTGATGCAGTTCCACGTGGGACGCCAGCGTTTCCTCTCAGTGGGCCCTGTCCACTTGGACACTATTGTCCTGAAGGCACTCCTTTCCCAGTTGCCTGCCCAGTTGGGACCCTGAACAACAGCACAGGTCTGACTTCACCAACAGGTTTCTCTTCTAGTCCACAGCAGTGGGGGGCTTTGTTGCTGGTGGCCAAGGTGGTGGATTTTCCCTTGGTCCCTGAAAGATAATTATACACTCAGTGAAGGCTGAGCCATGTCTATATGTTATCAGTGCAAATAGATGCTTACACCGCTGTGACTGATCTAAGGATGCTGTAGGGATGCTTCCATGTTTTCTGTCACTGAGCTGGAGTTCTGTTTTTGTTTTTAGGTGGTACCTCTCCAGAGAGCTGTGTGCCGTGCTATCCTGGGTCTTTCTGCGCTAGCATTGGTTTGAGTTCTCCAACAGGACCTTGTACTGAGGGATTTTACTGCCCAGCAAACTTCAGCTCCTTCAGCCCCACAGCATTTCTCTGCCCAAAGGTACTGCTCAGTGACATCAGGGCAGTGGAAGAGGTGGGTCAGCTCTGGACAGGTGTTTTCCTCTGTAGTAAAGCCTCCTACAGGCCTAATTGAAATGGTGATTATATCCACAGGGAATATTGCTTTGGTAATGCTGGGGTTCACCCTTTACACAGAACCTAAGTTTACTGCAGTATCCGTGGAATCCTTTATCATTGCCAGGGTCACTTCTGCCAGTTAGGAGCAGCTCACCCAACACCATGCCCTGCTGGGGAGTACCAGCCAGCCAGGGGCTCTGCGTCCTGCATTCCATGCCAGAGAGGATTCTACTGCCAGGAACTGGTGGCTGGAGACCCCAAGAGCTGCCCACCACATACTTACTGTCCTACAGGTATGCTGAAACTGGCACACCAGCTATGCCAAGGACTCAAACCTTGTGTGCCTCATTGTTGTGCCAGAGTTGTACAGACCCAGTGTCATCTTTATAGGCCAGGGAATGAGGAACTGGCAAAGCTGGCAACAAACATTGTGTTGTGCTGCCTTGCTTCCTGGGAGGCATTTATTACTCTGATATGGTTGTAGGGTCATGTCAGATCATAAGGTCTTCCTAGGATGTTTTATTTTCTGTGTCAGGCACACAGTTTCCTCAGACGTGTCCTGAAGGCACCTTTACTCCTCCAAATACGACTGGCCTCTGGAATGAGAAGCAATGCCTGCCTTGCTTACCTGGTCACTACTGCAGGTAATGACCATTCATTTCTATCTGGCACTTTTTCTACTACCTCCTAAGCCGCTCAGCATCCTTGCTGATCAGTCAACACTAAATTCTTCCCAGCTTATCTACCATCTGTGTCTCAGAGAACATAAGCATAACTCAGACACAGCTTTTGCATACAGAGCTGTGAACTTAGAGAGCTATTGCAAAGCAGTCTGACACTGTCATAGCATTATAAAGGAGCACCTAAAGGAGATAGGTAGGCAATGGTTGTGAAAACATGGACATAAGCCAGAAGGTTCAGCCCAGTGGAAAGTTGTTTGCAACTTTATCTAAAGCAATTTGCCCTCACGTTCATGGAATTTGAACTTAAAATTGTTTGGTTTGCTTCAGTCATCTGTGGTTTTCTAAGTGGAAAAAATGGGTCTATTTTTATCTCTCTTATCAGTGTAACCACTGCTCTGCTTCTGCACCAAATCTTTATCAGCAGGTCTTATGTAAATTCTTCTGGTTCTCTCTGCTCCAGGCGTGGACAGCTAGTGGGGAAATGTGCTGCTGGATACTTCTGCCTTGCTGGGAGCTCTCAGCCCACTCCACAGGGCCCTGGCTTTTCCTGGCACTTTCTGTCTGGATGCCAGTGGGGTCAGGCATGTGCTGGGCTGTGCCCTGCAGGTGAGAATCTTTGGAAGTGTCATAAGTGTATGTAGAGAGTTGCTTTTAACTAAGTAGAGAACATCTGTGGTCTTGCATAATATATGGTGATATCCACTTTGAGGTTGTCATGCTCATGTAAAAGCTCATCTGCTTTTACATCTTTCAACCAAAGAAGTTTGCTCAATGAAAGATGCCACCTTAAATCTGTGGTGCCAGATTGCTGGTCCAGAGATGTCTGAAGGCTGTTGATTTGGCTGTCAGTAGGCACAGAATCCCAATAGCTGCATAGATGTTAATCCTATGACAGGAGATGCTTGCTGAATCATTTTTTTCCCAGTAGAAGGCTTTTCTATTTTACTTTCATCCCTTCCCCGTCTATTTCTGCAGGTTTCTACTGCCTGGAGGGCTCTGAGTTACCTATACCATGTCCTGCCAATACTATTAGGGATGTTCCAGGGGCTGGGCAGAAGGAAGACTGCCTGCCCTGTCCACCAGGCCACTGGTGCAAAGCAGGTTGGAGTCTGGGATAATAATGAGGGGAGGGAATGAGATTTTCTTTGTGTGTATCCCTGACTGTTCAGACTAACTTTGGTATCAGACACTGCGCTTCGGATCAGTACTTGCCATGGGACGTGGTGTCTGTGATTCTGGAGTCAAAGCTAGTCTTCAAATAGCAATGTGTTCCACCTGCCAGAAGAGGGATTTGAACTGTCTTTTGTTTCTTGAATTGTGGCTGTAGATCATACTCTTACATACAGTGTTTTAGGAAGGACCCTGGTAGGATTCAGAAGAAAAAAAGGTGTTGCAACCACAGTGAAGAGGTGGCTCCTTAAAGCTGAATTTTCTGTTTGTTAGGAGACTCAGAGGCTTCTCCGTGTCCCTCAGGACACTATTGCTTTGGAAGTAATGGCAGTGACCAAGACAGTCTGTTGGCACCTCAGAAATGCCCTCCACATACTTACCGCAAGCTCCCAGGAGCTCAGAGCCTGACAGATTGCCAACCATGTCCTCCAGGCTATCACTGCCCTCTGTCAGGTAAGCAGCAAGTGAAATCAAATGCTTTCCCACCACTGGAGTTGATTACAGAACTCCCTGAGATGATATAGAAAGGGAGGGGTAACACTCATAGTGTGCTTACAGCTCTTCTCTAAACCCCCTCCTGGCCTTTCAGCCTCCCTTTCCTCATTTCTTCTCTTCCTAGCAGGTCTAACCAGTTTTGAGGATTATCCATGCCCGTTGGGATACTGGTGTCCTGGTAAAGGGGATGCTTTCTTTTGTCCACCTGGCACTTCCAGGGTACACCCTGGTGCAAAATCACTGGAAGAATGTGATCCCTGCTCAGCTGGCTACTACTGTCCAGACCCAGCACAGACAGGGCTGCCTAACACCCAAGGAGTACCTTGTGAACCTGGCTATGAATGCCCAGCAGGTGACATAATATGTTGTTCTATTTTATTTCTAGCTGTTTAAGCCCAGATGAGTGAAGAGTGCACAGCAGGCAGAGCCATGGCATATAGATGGCATAATGATCAGAGCCTCATCCTTGCAGCAGCCCTTGGTGGAAATGGCTCCTGATGGAGTGGCTTTAGAAGTGGATTTAGTAACCTGAAGCCTTTTCCTGGCTTTTGGCCTTTGAATTCCCATCTCCTCTTTCTCTGGCCTCCCTTCTTGTTCTCAGTTAGCTGGGATTCCAGAAGGAGGTGATCTGGGCCTAGAAAAGGAGCAGATATCTTTTGCTATCCAGGCCTTAAATATTCAGTTGTGTTAGCATTTCTTGCTTAACAGCAAATTGGTTCTGTGTGTCCTTTTGTGAGCAGTAGGAAAAGTGGAGTTTTTATGGACAGTAATATTTAACAAAGCCTTCTTGATCACTCTCTCCCCAGCACGTTCTCTCCTGTTCTGAGAATGCCACGTAAATCAATCACTGATTCTTCTTTTTTCACCAGGTTCAGTCAATCCAAAGCCTTGCAGGCCTGGCTCATACTGCAGTGCTCGCACAGCCGTGCCCTCCATGTGCCCTGCTGGATATTACTGTCCTGAAGGCTCATCAACATACAATAGCCCTGAGCAGCTGTGAGTACTTAGCATGGCTGGTGGAGCCAGCTTTGTTTTAAACTCTCTGAGGGACTTGTTTTAAACACAGGCTGCGTGCGTTGTACAAAAGTAAAGGGTATCTTCATAATCACACCTATGGATCTGGTGACTGCTAAGGCTGCTGGAGGATGGGTTATGAGCTGTATCAGTTAACCTGAGCCTGCAGCCAGATGAGAATCGTTTTTAATTTTGCACTGGTGGTTGATTGCAGAAGTCAGAACGTTTTCAGAGATTTTTCTTCCCTTTTCTGCCTTCCAGATGTGTGTTTCCCTATTACTGTCCCCCAGGCAGTGCCCACCCACTGCCCTGTGAAGGAGGATACATGGCTCTCAGCTCGCCTGGGCCAAGGGATTCCTTTGAGAAGTTCTGCAGAATCTGTGATGCAGGCAGCTATCGTAATGACTCTTTCATCTCTGCTCCCTGTCAGCCCTGCCCAGCAGGCTTCATCTGCCCACAAGGTAAATGTGGCTGCTATGGAGAAGTTGTGCAAGAAATAACTTCAGTGGTAACCAGAAAGCTCTGCGTGGGCAAAGCTCTCAATCCTCTACGGTTTTAAATCCCTGATGTGGGTTGTCATGTTGGTTGGTGGAGCATTTCTTTTGGTAGGTTGTTAGAAGTGAGAGAAATACATCAAAGATGGTTTGGATCTTGTTGTTCTTTCTCTCAGGATGACTTTGGCCCCCGCAAGCACTATTTTCTCTAATTTTGTGACTCAGCTGCAAGGCCAGGAGTTAATATGATGGAGTGTGAATGTAGGTGTTCAAATCTTGCTATGCGACAGCCAGTGTTGCATCCTGCTGGGTTAGGAGATAGGAGAAATCTGTGTACAAGCATTTGAAGGACTCCACTCATTGAGCTCCTCAGTAAAATGTAGTTGTGTGTGATCTGGTGCTGTAAAGCACGGGGGAAGATCGTGCCTGTCCACTTGAGCCTCTGGATTTGTCCAGTCAAATAACTGGGAGAAATGGATTTGGATGTTTATATATGAATAGGTTAATTTGGAACGTTGGATAATTTTACATATCCATGTGTATGTGTTTATATGTGTCTGCATGTACATCTATAAAGGTGCGTGTATAATTGGAACAGATGAGTGACTTTCTGCCTGTCCTAACACTTGCTCAGTTCCATAAGCAGTGTCTGTGTCTGAGACAGCCCCACCACCTTCTCTAGGCAGTGAGACTTACCACAAGAAGCCTTGTCCCGTTGGCTATTACTGCCCTCCCCTGGCATCTGCCCCTCTTCCCTGTCCCCCGGGGACCCATGGGAGCAACAGCTTGGCCAAGCATGTAGAGGATTGTCAGGCCTGTCCTGCTGGCACCTTCAATCACCTTCCTGCTCAGGCTGCCTGCTTTCCCTGTGGCAGCTCCTCTTCATCACAGTCAGGTGAGTTGCTGTTTTTGAGCGAAGCTTTGCCTGCAGTTAAGAGAGAGCCTAACAAGAAAGTTACCTACAAATGTGATTTTTTTTTCACATGCTTCCCCAATGGACTGCGAGTTTTGGGATCTTCATGATGCTATGTGTGCTAACAGTGCCCACCTGCTCTTCTTCTGCCCTGCTTAGAGGATGGAAGATTCCATTTTCTAAGTTATATTTTGTTCTCCTGTACTCTGTCAGCCAAGGGGTTTTGATCTCAATTCTTTCAAAGGAAGGAAGAGATGAGCAACCCCACTAATTCTTGCTCTGTCATTGCCTTGAAAGCAGTGGAGTGCTTTTGCCTTGAGTTGCAGAACTTGCTATACGTGCAGCTGTGATTTTGAGACAAAACTGGGCAGTGTAACCATGTCCAGCTGAGACTGATAAAGCAGGAAAAGACTGGAAAAGGAGAGGGTGAGAAGCTAAGTATACAGTAGAGAGTGTAGTACTCTACCAACATTTCAAGTGAAGTGGATTTAATAGTGTTAAGGCACAAAGCCACTGCTAAGAGGGGCTCAGCAGCCTTGACTGACTGAGTCCTTATCCTATCTAGTGGCTTAACATATAAATTGGCGGAGTGTTTGTCAAAATGCCACTGCTGCAAGTTCCTGGATGGGTCTTTCTGCCCTTCTTTCTAAATGAATGCTTTGAAAATGGTGTAACGATTGTGGTGGTAGAGCAAAAGGTAGATTGGCTCAGTTCTGCTGTGATGGTGGGCAAGCAAACTCCAGGTGTGCCACTACAAGCAGTGTGATTTGGTCAGAGCACTCAGCACTGGAACTGCTCCTTTACTGTGGGCACAGATTTTGCCAGCTGTATTCCCTACCTTGATTTCCACTCCAAATCCATCTTCCTCTCAGGTGCTACCAGCTGTACCTGCCATGGGTTGAACCGGGCTTTCCAGCACTCAGATGCCTCCTGTATCTGCCAGGCAGGTTACATTTACTATGATGAGCGAGGCAAGGAAAACTCTGACAGCAACAGTGATCAGGACTGCCGACCTCAGGTAAACCTTGGCTCCAAAATGAATTTGTTGCGTGACATGTGAGTGAGAGAGTAGTTCAGTGCTTTGGGCACTGCCTCAGCATCTGTGAGCAATCGCAGCTCAGATCACTGAACTGCTGCAGACACAAGAAAGTGCTTTGGCTGCTTTGTTTGGTAGGCATGACCCTTCCTTGTGATATAATGTCACTTGTCTCCTTTCATGGAATCTTGCAAGGCTAAATTCAGTAAGAGCCAGTGGCAAAAGATCTTTCTATGCAAAGACAATGGGGAGCAGCTAAAGCATCTCAGATGACTGATGCAGGAATTTAAGCCTCTGTGTTTTCAATACGGAATTCTCCATTAGGGCTGGTTGAGGAGTTTGGATGGGAAGTGAACTTGCCCTGGTCTTTTTCATTGCTTTTCAAGTTGCCCCTTAATGCCCCTTGTTGCATTGCCATTACATTGTGTGTCAGTGACAAGTGGAGAATTTTAGGGGTGCTGCTTCTCTGCTGAAACACTTGAGCTTATGTGACACGGATTGGATGTGCTGGTTTTCCAGGTGGACGAGCTCTGTGCTCCTGGAGAGATCCGTTTAGCATCTACACGCCGTTGTGTTTCTCCTGAGCAATATGACTGCTCTCCATCTTGTGGGCCTGCAGGTGGAGAGGTCAATGCAGAGCTGGGCATGTAAGTCTCAGCAGCCACTCATTAAGGAACGCTTCACAATGAGTTCTGACTGGCTACGTTACTGATCCCATGAGGTCATTTCAGGGTAGGACTTTGGGAGGTGCTTTTGAGAAACTTTCCATTGCTGGAGCTGCTCTGTGTGGAAATATTGGCCTTCAGACCTCGTTCGTTGGCCTCATTCCTCAACCTGTGTTTTGAAAATTACCTGGAGGTTTTTGTGTGTTTGGGTGGAGACAACAGAATGGACACAGAGTGATAAGGTAGGGCTGGACAAAGTTCCCTGAAGGAGACCTTTCCTGCATACCTCAGGTTGAGCCCCCCTTGAGTTTTAGAGCAGAAATGAGTCCTAATCCCACCTTTTAGTGCTGACAGAAGCATTGAAACTAATGTTTGTCATATTCTTTTTCCTCTTTTTTTATCCTCTTCCTGACATGGATAGCCCAAAAATCTAGTGGATTAAAATCATATTGTCACTTTCTACCAGTTTTTGAAAACAGAACTCTGGGAAGAATACATAACTCTGCTCCAGTACTGACACTGACCTCTATTAGAGGACAACAGAGGCTGTGTAGGAGAGTGGTGTATCACATTTTGGCCTGTTGTGTGGTCCTTAGATTAAGGAAAAAGCATTGAAAAGCAACTACAGTACTGGATGAGCTGAACTGTGAGTTTGGTCCACCTTATTTACCATGAATATAGAGTAGCCCATTCACTGTATGGATTGTAAGTGAGATTGAGGCTAGCTTGGCCCTCAACATATTGTAGCTGTATACTTGTGGATTGTAAGTAATGAGAATCTTTTTGCTGTGCAGATGTCACTGCAAACAGTACATCTCTGCTGAGGAGCTCTGTGACCAAATGTGTTTGCTGAGAGCCCCACGGATCTCCTTGGGATTTGGCATCAAGAGAGAGCTGCTTCTGAGGGTGGGCGATGGAGTCAGGGTAAGTGTGGATGAGGTACTGCTCTGTCACCTCTCTGTGAGCCTGTAAAGAACATTTATAGATTGCATTTAGATAAAGGGACCCTGGGAACTGATGTTACAAAGCTGTGAGCAGAGAGAAAGAACAGAGTCTTACCACATCTCATAACCCAGAGTAGGGACTAGGCAAGAGATGGGCACGTTAATGAGAAATGATGTTGTGGCAGAAAGCCTCGCTAGAGCAGTGTTGCACAGCTGATGGTAGTGTTGATTACAGAGCAGGGTTTGAGTCCAGGGTTGCTTGTACCAGTGATCAGTGTTCCCTCCTGCTTTTAATAGGAAGTGACAAATGTTCTGGGCCCAGATGAACATGTTCAGAAGAGCCAGAGGGTGCATTTGGTTCTGTTTAATCCCAGTGGAGTGCTAGGTTTCATTGTCTCCAGCATGGATATCTTGGATGCATTTCTCTCAGGTAAGGCTTGAGAGCACCTTGAGATGAGCCTAATTCCCCACAGGCTAAGCTGTCAACTTTCTTTCAAGTCATCACAACAAGTGGGCAGCAGTTTGGCACAAAGGGAATTCAGTGTCAGACAGCCCAAACTATTTACAAAGTGGAGAGGGATCTCTTTCTTTCTGGGACTAAACAACAGGAGCCCTCACTGCTATATAGTTAGCTCTCTGGGAAAAAGGTCAAATTAAAATGATTTTGGCCTCCCAAGGAGCTAAAAGAAAACTCCCTTCAGTGGCTCATCTGTCAGTTTGCATGTACTGGCTCTTGATTCCAATTGCTCCCAGTGCATGGTAATGTCATTTAGAAATAGAGCTCGGCCTTGTGAGCTCAAATCACTTACAGATACAAAATAAAAAGTTCTGCATTGCCAGGGGTTAGGAGCTTTCATATGCTGCTCCTTTACTTACTGTTTTTTTTCTGTTGCCTGTGGCAGGAGAGTTTTCATCAGATGAGTTGGAGCAGAAAGGTCATCGAGTCCAGAGGGCTGTCTTCAAAGATATCCATGCCTTGCCCCTTGTCCCTAACCCAGTGGTATGTTTGGAAGCAGGAGACACAATCCTTTTTCAGCTTAGCATCAATTCTCACAGTGAGTGAGTTGTGTGGGTAAATACATAACAAATATAAAATGCTTTTTGCTGATAGATATATGTGTCCAGACGTGTTTGCAGCAGTGACTGTGCATTTGGTAGTACTGCATGTACGAGCACATTCCTTCACCTCCCAGTCACCCTTGCCTTCAAGGGATTCATGATCTTTAGTCTGGCTCTGCCAGTGACTCATCTGACGTTTTTTACATTTTGGCTGGATTTCTGTAGACTACAGATAATACAGTTCCTCTGTCAGAAGAGCAGTGTGTTTGCTGGGGAGTAATGCACCCTTCAAATAAATGAGTTGACACTGTAGGGCTCTGTAAAATAAATCCAATTTGAAGCCAGCATCAGCTGTCCTAACTGAAGCGAGTCAGAGTTGCTGACATTGTGCCAACACTTCCCAGATCGTGCATCCAGCCACTACCCTGTTTATCAGAAGCAGCATCTTTATAACAGCAACCCTAGCTGGGATTATGGAGCCTTCCGAAGGCTGGACCACCTCATCCAGGAGACTCACCTCAACATCTCCTGGTAATATCTGGTGTGACTGATAGTGTGTGTGCTAGGTGTAGAACTTGGGAGCAAGTCTTGCACAGAAGCACTGGGACCTTGGCAGTGGATAGCATGTGGAAATGCAGAAGTATGGTGTGTTTAAGTCCATGTATTCAGCTGTCATCCCTGCTGTAAGCTGAAGGACAGTTGGATCAGTCGGTGCCTTCCTTCTCCCTTCTAGGTTTGCCCATGTTTTCCTGGAGTCTGGGACATTTGTATTCAGGGATAAGACCATTCAGGAGCACTTTTTGATTGTGACTGTGAACGAAGCAAATGTGGGCTGTGACCCCAGAGATGTGTCCTTCCAGCCCTCTTCACTGTTCCAGCTGGCCAGACATGGGATTTTGAAGCAGCAGGAGCTGAACTTAGCTCCTAACTGGGCTTCCATTATAGGTACAGCCAAAATGCTGTGATATGTTGAACTCTGATGCTTAGCTGTAGCTTTTATTGTACCTTCTTGGGTGTGTTTAAACCAGCATTTATTTAGAAATACCATCAAACCACTGTCATTTTCAATTCATTTCCTCTGTGGAGTTTCCTTTCCCAAAGGTTGCTGCTCTCTAGCCAAGAACCTGCTTGTGTAGGAGCCAAAGGGGGAGAGAAGGAGCAGTTACATTTCTACCCACACCCTGCTTGAAGAATTCAAGTAATTGAGAACTTTGTTTCCCTTGGCATGAGAGCAGAAAGTGTATGTTTCCATGATAAACTAAACTGGAATTAAATGCATCATTGAAAAGTTCACTGAAGGCTAACCACAAGGGCAGTTAAGGTCTTTCCCAAAGCCCTGTCTCTGTGAAAGTGCTCTGCCCATGCCAGTCTCTTGTCCTTCATTCAGAGGACAGCAAAACAGTAGAATTGATGCAATGGTTTGCAGGCATGAGCTTTGGTTCTGTCACCTTCAGATGCATGCACTGAAACTGCTTTGTCTCCTTGCTCACATGCAACACAGATCAAGGAGGGAAGGAGCAGAAGCCCGTGTCGTGAAGATGAAAGTTGTTAAATGTCTGGTTTCTGTGGGAAGGAGAGCACTGAGTAAAAGCGTAAGGGGAGACTGTGCTGTTGATGCACGCTGCTTCCTGTGTTTTTCACTTCTTGCCATCCATCTTGGTTTTCCCAGCGGTGCTCTTCATTCTGGGCTTCCTAATTGTGCTGCTGACAACCCTGGCTATTGTGCTGCAGCCCACTGTTCCTGTCCTCAGTCCTCTGAGGAGCTGGAAGCCACGATGGAGGAGCCTGGGTGAGCCGCACATCCCACCAGAGTACATCCTTCTTAAAGAAAGGTGAGCTGCCTTAGCATGGTGGATAATCAGGAGCTTGGACCTTGACAGTACAGTCGTGTCCTCTTGCAGTTACTGTGTGATATACCCAGTGCTGAACTCCTTGCAAGCACTGCACAGATTCAGTTTCTAACTGTATGGAAAGTTCACAGTGTTTCCCAATAGTATTCCAGCTCTCTTCCAGCATGGTGTATGACAGCTCTGTTGTGTCTTCTGCAAAGAATACTGCTCTAAGAATTGCCTGGCATGCTCTTCTTCTCTGTGTTTTGAATCTAGAGAAGTGGCACCTTCTGCTTGAACTGGGGTAGCAGTCCTGCAGTGCCTGGTTTTAGTGAGGTGAATCTCTATGTCACATACAGAGATGCTCTTCACCATCTTCTTTCATTGCCTCTAGCCTTCTGTACTATCAGATGCTTGGTCCTCGTGGTTCTGGAGGAGATGCTGCCTTTGGAGAAAAAGGAGCTGTGCATAATGAAGGTGAGGTGTTGTACCAGTTCCAGGCTTCTCCCTTTGGCTTTTGTTACACTGGTATAATAATTTTGATTCCTGCTTCCCCAGAAACGTGCACATAAGTGGTCACTTTAACTGCTGTGCACTAGTATGCAGACATCTACATACACACAAGCACGTATTTCTATTTTAGATTCATTTAATCTCTTCATCTGAGGTCTGTAAGCTCCTGTTGTGGGGATGGATCAGTGTTTTCTTCTCTAGATGGTAGGAGGGCAAGTGACCAGCCCTGAAAAATCATTTAGAACACCAGTGTGTTCAGATGACTAATGAAGAAAATTAAAATCTTTAAAACAATTCCCTGGGTTATTCTGTTGCTTATTCTATTTTCTGAACACACGTGACTCGTGGGCCTTTTTAGCCTTCAAGGCATGACTTCATCCTTGGGATTTCTGGATGTTCACAGAGCAGAGCACACGCAGAACCCAGCAGATGGCACTATGTATTGGTGCTGAGAGCATCTGGTGGATGAAGTACCACTCAAAGCTGTAAATACAGCACAGAAGTAGCAACCTGACAGCTTGCTGGGCAACTTAGAGGTTGATAGTAACGCTGTGTCATCCTCCCCTTACTAAGGAGCGAGACCTTCTCTTACACAGCATGCCTCAATTGTGTTGTGTTTGTGTTTCTTCACAGTACACAAAAAAAACTGTTGCCTCCTATGGACAGTCATTGCCCCTAGGGAAATACCTTAGAATAGATCTGTGGCCAGTGGTCAGTCATGAGGCTTACCTTGTGTTTCAGAAGGATGCTGTGCAGTCAAAGACCTGGAGGATTTCAGTGTTCGCACTCTGTACGATAAGTTGGAAGATCAGAATTTGCACCTGGCAGCTCAGCTGGCAAAGCACAGGAGGGATGTGTTGGTGTTTTACAATGGAATCAGCCAGCAGCTTCAAGGTCTCATGGTCAGTGTGAAGAAAGAACTGTGGGAAAGCGGGTCTTGAAACTGAAGCTTGCAAGTGGCAGTTTAGTGAATGATAGGTCTTGCTCCCTGCTGTCCCCTTTTTTGGTATAAAATAGTTTATGCTGATCTCTAGTTTGGTGTGAGAGACAGAAAGTGAAATGGATGGATTTTGAGGCTTTTAAAGAATAATTACTGCTTTGTCATAAACAGGACATGGTGCAAGCACTGGATGCTGAGGGCCTGAAAATCCTTACCAGGCAAAGGGTTTGTGGGCATAAATCTGCAGACAGCAGCTGGGCAGCAGTGGGCATGGAGCAGTGTGAGGAGCACTGCAGCAACAGCTTCTATGCAGCAGGGCAGGCAGGTAAGAGAAGCACCACGCAGAGCAAAAGAGAAGTGGAGTGTGAGGGAATGTTTAAAAACAGCTCATATCAATGAGATTGTGCCTTCATTCAGTAAGAGCTGACAGCCTGTCTTCACATGAGTTCAGTGATGATACAGTCCTGCCAGCTTAGGAATGGGTGAGCAGAGAGTTACAGCACCCTCCCAAAATTACAGCAAAGCATAATGAATGCAGTGCTATCTGATCACCTTCCCAGGAGGCGTTTTGGAGCGTTCTTATGGGATTTCCAAAGAAAGATGTCTGTTTTTAGATTTGCTCTGGTGGTGATAACAGTTTTTTGTGTGTTCCTGTAGCAATCCATTTGAATCACTTGTTGGGTTCCATTAGGTGCACTGCAGCAAGAGGCAATCGAATTGATGAAAGCATTGGAAATCCTGCTTGGGAGAGCTCAGCCTAAGAACATGAAACGAGAGATGGAGCAGCAGGTCCATGGACAGGACATGGTGGCAGTTTTACCCTCACTGCACAGTGAAAGTAAAGTAAAAGTAGTGGAAGGGCAGGTAAGCTGCAGATGTTTGCTATTGGGCCATCCTTCACCTTTATGCTTTTTTTTTTCCCCCACCTGCCCATTTCTTTAACTCTTAGGCCTTCTTTGTTCAGGGTTATAAGCTGCCTGAGCAAGAAGAGCTCTTCCGTAGGAGGGGTGATGTCTTCAGCTTCCCTGTGCATGAAGAATGCAGTAAGTGTGCCATGGTGCTCTTCAAAGATGGTGGTAGGAGACTGCCTCCTTGAAGCCTACAGACTCCCTTACACCTCATTCTTAAGCAACCACTTGGAAGGAAGAGATTGAGTGTCAAGGAGTAAATTAGAGGTGACAGGCAGCTGTCCTGTGCAAGAGAGCAAGATGGAGCATCCAGCTGCATCACTTACCTCAATAGCTGCCTTTTTCCTTTTCAGAGAAATGCTTAAGAGGCAATTCCACAGAGGATATGAGGAGTACCCTCATCCCCATGGATCCAGCCACTTTGTCACCTCACCAGTTTGTGGTGTACCGCTTTGGCTGTGCAGTGGTGCACCTGTTAACCAAGGCCTGCTCATGTCCTGCTTTGGTGCTCATGCTGGCTCAGTCCATTCCTGCCCAAAGTCCAGATCAAGCTCTTCTCCCAGGCTTTGGAGACTCCTACTACGATGCCATTGATAAGAACCTGTATGTGCATGCAGCAAGGCTGGAGGATGCTGGGGAGCTTATTGCTGTCCTGCTGAACACTGTGGCATGGATTGCAGCAGGTAGGGCTGTGATGAGGAGTGTTTATCCCATGGGAACAGCACTGCTTGGCTTTCACTGCTGAAATGAGCTCTTGTATTGAGATACCCAATTAAATATCTGCTTTTCTTTTTTCCAGGGTCCTGTTCACAAAAGCAGGCAGGATTTTATGAATCCTGTGAGCACTGGATTTCCTCTTTGTAGCAGGAAATTTGTGCCTTGGATAAGGGTTATACTAGAATCTGTTATTCTGCAAGCACAAGAGAACTGTTCCTTCAGTGTTCTGACTTAAAACAGTTTTGCTGTCAACAAATGTGACTTATTCCTTTTGCTTTGCTTTAGGTTGTCCCTCAGCTGGCACTGCTCATTCCTGCTTTATGATGGAGCTCAACAGAGCTATTGTGGTTCTCGCCAATGCCTTCTTCCAGGTTTCATTGGGGATAGCAGACAAGGTATGTAGGGTGATTTCCTCTAATGGCAGTGACTACTCCTTGAGGTGTTATTGGGCAGAAATAGATTCTCCAGTTTATAAGGTGGATTTCTACTACTTTTTTTTTTTCCTACTTCTACATCACTAGTGCAATTAGAGGTGTTAAGATTAGATAGATGTAATATGAAGCAGAAATGGGGAAACTCTTCAGGTGTACAGAGTTTGAGTAATGCCTCCTTGAGAAGGGATTCATCTGCGCTGCTTGTGCACTGGCATCTTAAACAGTAAAGGATTTAAGATCTACAGCTAAGTCTGGCTTCCTAGGATAGTTGATGACCAGAAACCGTTCACTAGAAAGGAGCCAGCTTTTGTCAGTTTGACTTGTTAATTTGCCTGCAAAACTTAGCAGATGATGTTTGGGGATTGTGATGCTCTCTCTGTGCACTGTTTGAATGTGTTGGGTTTCATGTGTTTTTTTGGCTCCAACTTCAGGACCCCTCAGGCTCATCTGATTGCTTTGACATTCAGAAAGTGCTCAAAGAACTTCTGAGCATCAGAGTAGTACCACATCCCCGTGCGAAGGGAAAAGCCCTGGGTGAAAGGTACAGTGGATCAACACATTACTGCTAGTGAAATAAAAACATCCACTTCATGTACAATGATCTGCTTTGGACGGTGATGTGTTACTGTTCTGTTCTGGGTGACAACACGTTGTTTCTCTCAAAGTTCGCAAGGATGCAGGCTGCAACAGCCCCCTCTTCATCAGACCTTGGTTAAAAGTCTTTCACAGACTCAGAATTACTTGGAGATATAGGATGAGACCATTCCTGTACATCCAATGCCATCCTGTACATTTTTCTTTTCAGAAAAGAAAGCGATAAAATATGGGGTGTACTTCTGTGAAATGCTCCCTTTCTTATTTCCAGAAATTTCTTCCTGAAATTTGTGTTGTTTCTCTTCCCATTAGGGTGTCTGGACTGCAAAAGTACCAGTGCCTTCATCTGCCACAGGGGACCCTAGACAGGATGGGAAATTCACAGAGAAGTGACTATAGCAGGAATTCAGACTCCTCTTCTGCTAAGGTCAGTCATTTGTATTTTTGTTTCTTTTCTAACAGTTGTCCATCAACAGCTTTAGAACTATACCAGATGTTTTGAGTGCACAGGGAAAAACAAACAGTCTAGTGTTTTAGGAAGTCAGTAATGTCTGTTGTCTTTCAATTCTCGCCCTATACAAATTGGCAGTAGTCATCAAATATCCCAAATTATGTGCATGTCTCTAAATATCTTCAGAGAGTCCTAATTCAGAAAGTATGAAGTTCTTATGCTCTCGAGATGAACACCTGAACTTCAGACTAATTTTTGACAGTCTTATTCAACCTAAATCTGACAGGCACATTTCATTGATTGGCCCATGTTTGGAAAGGAGCATCACCTCTGCCTCTCTCTCTGTTAAGGCACTGCTAAGGATTTGCTTTCAGTGAGACATCTCCATGACTTGCTGTTATGACATGACCTCTCCTCAGAGTTGGCATGCCTATCTGCCTACCCCTAGGAGTGACCCCAGCTAGAGGATGCTGCTGTTGTAGAATGTTTGCTGTTCTCCTATTTTGTGTTCTCTAGCTGGAGGTTACACAACTGGAGGAGAGGCTGGATGAACTAAATGAGGCGTTTGTTGAATTGACAGTGCAGGCCATGAGTCTGCAAGAAGATGGGGATCTGTTGGAGAAAGAGCTGAGAACACAGGAGGAGTCACTTGTGGTATGAGTTGTCTTCTACTGGGTCATCTTCCACCAGCCCCAGGGCAATGGCCACAGCTCCTCACCTTCATGTAGGTGTATGCCTGTGTGATTCAGCTTAGCGATACCGTAGAGGTGAAAAGGGTACACAAGAGAGTTGTTTATGTTGATTGGTTACATGCACACCCAAAGCCCCACGAGTTCCAATATCTTCAGTTGGAGGAGGCAGATTTTTCCCTTTAGCATAAAGGGTAGCAGGAAGGAACAAACAGCTTGAATCAAATGATTCGCTTCATAGGCAGAACTTGGGAGCCAGGACTCCCCTGGCCTCGTCTCCATGTGTGACACTGGATAATTGTGGTAAATTTTTTGTTCATTAGTCTCTCCACTTATTTTTTAAAATACACTGTGTAAGCTACAATAATAAGCAAATTCATTGAGACATATGAAGAGTCCTAGAATCACCAAGGTTGGAAAAGACCTGCAGGATCACGCAGTCCAACTGTCCGCAGCAATGTGGTGGAAAGCAAAGGATTTGATTTAATTAGAGGAGGGTTGCATTATTTTGAAATTGATACTGTGGGCTTTGCAAAGGCCTAAGGGTGCTGTCAGCAATGCGCAGTGCAGCTTGTCCCATGCTCCTGTATAGGCAGTGCATAGTGCTGGCAGCAGTTGATTCTGTCCCAGATTTTTGCTCCTTGGTGGCATAGGTATTGCTTGATGCTGTCCAATGAATTTACACCCTGTTTTTGTTTTGATTTTGTGTAATAGACTGCAAGCAAGAAAGAAGCGTGGGGAGCTCAGCGGTATTCTGAAATGTTAGATTCTTGGGCCACAAAGAGGGATGAAGCCTTGCTGCTGGAAGTAGAGAGGAACTGCATTGCTCAGAGGATCGAAGAGATAGAAGCCCAACTATTGCATCTTCAAAGTACACAAGCCAGCAGTTCACTTCCTTGAGGAACCTAATTTGAAAGGCAATGGCTACAGCATTGATGTGTATGTAATTAGGGAGGCACATGATCAATTATCTTGTGGATAATTCATATTTGTTGGGTTTTTTAGTTGATTGAAGTATACTAATGCTCAGCTATCAATAATGTGTAGGCGTGAGGGATAAGCTGAGGTTCTTAACATTTTTCACTAATTTTAGTTTCTGTTTTAAGTCAGTAAAGCAGAAATGATGTGAAGCCACTAATGGCCCCTACTTAATGTGTTCTCTATAGCCTCTGACATCTGACATCAAGGGTATTTTTGAGGATCTTTTAGGTACAGTTTAGAGCCTTACTTCTAAGTCTTGCCCAGCATCTCCACACTGCTATGCATGTTTTCAGTGTAATCTTACTGATCTCAATGAGGTGTGAGTACACTTAAATTATTCCCTGTAGTGATGACTGCAGCAATTTGTGTAGCTTCTGGTATAGCTTCCTGCTCCATCTCTTTCTGCACAGCTTTCCTTAGTTCCAGGTGAAGTAGAACAACATAAAATTGCTTGACTGTGAGCCAGTACAATGCCTGGGCAAACCACACAGGTAGGCTTCAGCCAGCTATTTCCAACAACAAAGCCAGTTCTCTTTTCATTCTGCAGTATTTACTGAATTGCTTAGGCGTGAAGAAACTTGTGTACCTGCTCTTTCCTGGTTCCTAAACACAAATCTGTCCTTACTCATTCTCCCTTAGCAGAGTGTATTAATTAGAGGGTGAGACTTCAATACCAAGGAGCCCAGACAGAAGCCCTCGACTCTGGTCTCGCTTACTGGTGTCTCTGGTGGATCCAGAGAAACTTCATGTTCTTTTTCTCTCACCTTCTCATTTTGCTGTTTACAAGTTTTCTGAGCTTGCTCTCAGAAGCAGAAGGTTTGTTTTGGTTCCTTTGCAACCTCACCTTGGGAAAATTCAGTTATTTGCTGACACTTTGAAGGGCCTTTAAGGAAATGAGAGGATTTATGGAAGTCAAATATACCTATTGGCAAACACTATGAAACAGTGGGATTTTCTTTCCTAGATTACAGCAGTGTAAAGGCTGCATTGCTCTCCTTATTGCTTTCTTCTTTTACGTTATCAGCAGATACTTTTATAACAGTACGCTGCTGTCTCTGTAATATCCACAGGAAAACATCTAGATAGGTGGTGAAGTTACCTCTGCGTGCTCTGTGTGTTATATTTTTAAAAGGCAGACTGGGAGGCATTAGCAAATAAAATGTGTCAGTTTTTCATTGCAACAGTTTTCTCATGGAAGTAACTTTCTGCTTTGGATTGAAGCAAATGTATGTGTGTAGAATTCTGCTGGCAGTTCTCTCTTTTCCCCATTGTGGCTTTCTTAACAAATGCACTTCAGCTATAAGTAAACTGCTTTGGGCTTCAGAATGTGTTGGTTTTTTTCCCCCACAAAATGAAAAAGTGTTAATGAAAAGTCCAGAGTTCCACATGATGTTACCTTTCATGTTCTGTTGGTAGTTACTAGAGGAAAAGAAGAAACAAATGAAATTGGACAAGGCTGAGTGCAAGATGCTGCACTTGAGTCAAGCTCATCCCAGGTAGGATTACAGACTGGGAGAACTCCTTGAGAGCAGCCCTGCAAAGAAGGAGCTTTGGGTCCTGATGGATAAAAGCGGGACATAAGGCAGCAGTGTGTGCCTGCAGCCCAATAGGGGTGCTCTGGTACCCATAGAAGGGTTGTCCTTATCTGCAGTGCTGTGTCCAGGTCTGGGGCCCCTGTACAGGAGGGATGTGGAGCTGGAGCAGGTCCTGGGGAGGGCCTCGAAGATCATCAAAGTCTGGAACATCTCTAGGAGCTCCAGAAAGGTTGAGGTAGTTGGGCTTGTTCAGCTTGGAGAAGAGAAGGCTCCAGGTAGACCTCATTGCAGTCTTCCATTAGGTGAAGGGAGCTTTAAGCAGGAGAGGGACCAACTTTTTTTACACAGTCTGACAGTGATAGGAAGAGGCAGAATGGCTCTGAAGTAAAACAGGGGAGATTTAGTTTAGGTGTTAGGAAGAAATCCTTTCCTCAGAGGGCAGTGAGGCACTGCTGCCCAGAGAGCTGTGGGTGCCCCATCCCTGGAGGCACTCAAGGGTGGGATGGGGCCTTGGGCAGCCAGAGCTGGTGGGGGCAACCAGCCCTGCCTGGGTATTGGAACTGGTCCCCTCCAACCCAAGCCATTCTGTGATTCAGCGAAATACAAAGAGGAGTGGTGCAAGCATGTATTTCATTCTTTCTTTGAAGTATTTACTGCTGGTAGCTCTTTTTCCAGCCCTCTCTGAAGTCTGGAAGTCAAGCACTTTCTGGAGTAGCTGTGAAGTCCCCCTCAGGTTTGGAAGGCTGCTGTTTCTCTGGGACTGCTGATAAGGCTGACGGAGTCCAGGATCTTTTACCTTGAAAGAGAAGGTATGGTGAGATTCCTAAAAAGATCTCTTCAATTAATGGCTTTGTGTGGCTCTAAGTTCTGAAATAAGGCCTTGTCAATCTGGGTAGTGTGTTAAATTAGTCTCTCAGTTAACGAAGCCAGACAATATTAATGGTGGTGCTTGTTGCAGTGACTGAAGCCCTGCTTGGCTGTGCTCATACAGTTAACACTTGTTTCTTACTCATATAGAGCCAGAAACTTTGAAATACTGATGAAATGAAAGGTCCAACAAAAACATCTAATGAAAATGTCCACTGAGAATTTCATTGGGCACCTGAAATTCAAGTTGCTTTTGGAAATGGTCAAATTGAAGCTAGGATTCCCTCTGTACAGAAGGGAAATTTCCTAGCCACCTCAGTTCCAACCTCAAAAAAAACGTTCTTTCAAAAGTTACTGAGTTTATGACATGCTTTTATCTCTTCCAGGACCTGAAGGTCCCCATGTGGCTGTGCTCATGCCACTGCTGAAAGACCATTGTCACTCCAGAGTTCCTGGGCTGGTATGTGAGGTGAGTGTTTCTATAACCTTGTTCCCAAGCCTGAGAGAGTATTGTGCTGGTTTTGTTCTTCCAGAAGGAATAAAATCCTGAAAAGTTCTTAATTTATAGTCAGAATAGGAAGTCTTTCTTTCTAAAACTAAAAAGAAAAAAGAAAAAAATGAAAATTCATTTTGAAGTTCTGGAGTAACAGCTTAAATGGAGTGTACCTTGGCAGTACCAGAATGTCACTTGATCTTTTCTTATCAGCTTTGTTTTCTCTGCTCTCTGCAGCTAAATTGGGTATGTGGGAAGATTGAGAAATGTCACCAAATACAGCAAACAAGCAACCTTGCTTTTGGAGGTTCCATCCACAGCAGGCGAGCCTCTGGCCTGAATGAGGTCTAATACTTTGGCTGTGCCCCCAGTTCTGTCCGTGAGCACGTTGTGTTTCTATTGCACGTAAAAGGAGTCATTCACTTCAGGACAGCAGGAATAGAAGTGGGGATTTCCCTTCCAAACAAACTAGGTAACTATAATAGAGTCAAATAGAAGCTGTTGCGTGGCACTGAGGTTTTGGAGGGCGTCTGTATATTTGTTGGCTTATTTCTTGATGAAGTATCTCATTTGTTGGGATGTTCCCAGAAGCCTGACATAGTAAATGACTCATTTTTATGAGAAAAGAGTGGTCTTGCTAAGCTGGCTCATCAGCAAGTCCATTGGAAGCCAGATACATGCTTAATAGCTTTGCCCAATGAAGCCTTGATCCTTGCAGACACAGCTGTATGCTGAACTGCAGCAACTGGCAGAAGGACAGACTGCACCCCTGCTGCTTTCAGGACCAGTCTTGTAATGGATTCATCTTCAACTTAGCTGTTCTCTAAAGCTGTTGAAGTAAACGTGTCCTTAGTGCCCTCAACTCAACTTTTACCTGTCCTCCCTGGTAAATAACTTTATCACTTGTCAGTGGGTCATAGCTGCATGGGATGGACCTTGTCCCATCTGTAAGGTTCTAGTAATCCTGCTGATGATCTGTGCTGAGTGCTTGTTTATACACTGCAAAATTAGAAACATATTAAAACTGCATATAATATTTAAGATAAACTTGCAAAAGTAAGAGATGAACCTTTTTTATTCAAGGTTCCTCTTTAAAGAACAGCTATAAAAGCTAATCACTGAGAGCATAACTTTCCTCTGTAAAACACCCAGTGATACATTGATCTCAGAATAAGTTCACAAACAATTTCAGAATTGCAACGCTTGCTTTTGTGTTAATTATTTTGTTGCTGAAAATATTTCAGATGAAATGATCTCCAAAATGTATTTTTCTAATGGTGCCCCCCACAAGAAAAAAGAGATGCTGGGATGTACCAGTAAGATTCCTTACATGTTGATGACTGTATGCTGAAAATCACTAGTGTTTATGTGAGCTCTGTATGATGGTCTTGGGTGTATTTAATAGTTAGTGTCCTGCAACAAGGCACTGATGTTCGCCCAGCAATTCCAACACCTGTTCCTGGCTTTGAAAGAAAAAGCAACAACTCTTTTCCTTTAAAATCAAAGAGGAAATCAGTGGTTGTGGTCACACAGTGTCATCTGGTTTCAACCCCCCATGTGTTATTCGTTCTGACTTAGGTTAGTGCATACTTCGTGTCCAGTGGGTAGCATTTCTTTTCTATAAGATGTGCAGAAGTTTCAAGATGTGCTGTGATGATACAGGAAGGATCACTGCAGGTCACATTGCTGACTTGCTGCACTGTTGATGGCAGTTACCAAAGGTATGAAGTGATGGAGCTGCAAAAGCGTGTTCTGCTGGTACTAGGAAGGTACAGAAGTAGTACCTGCTCTGGATTTGTGGACTAAAGTTTGTTGGAAAACAGCATTTCTGTATGGTAGCACCACAAACAGCAGTTACTTTGGGGTGAAGTTTCCCTGTTTTCTCTTGAATGTACAGAATTCATTCTTAAGAAAACTCTGGAGAAATGGAAATCAGATCAAGGTAGCTGCTTCCTGTGGAAGAGCTCCTTCTTGAGGGAGGAGGTGCTTGGTTTCCCTTTTTGTCTGTTCCTTACTGGCAGTATAGAGGAAAAACTATAAAAAAAATACACTCCTATCTACCAAAAGCAACAGACATCAATTCCCTATCTTCCTTCTCACCCATCTGTCAGTCAGTTAAGTTCTGAGAAATGAAAGCCTCAAAATAGCAGAGAAGATATGCTGTTCTCTATGAGAAATCTGCTGCAGCCCATCACCTATGAGCAACAAAGCAAACAACTTCATGTTTCCTAGTTCTAAAGCTGTACCAGGTGTACACCTGTAGTGTTCTTGGAAAAATACCACAAGATTAGGAGAAAAGGTGCTAATAGGCCCGTTTCTTGGAGAAAATGTGCCAAACCAAACACAGATAAAATAAAGAAGGTTGCATTTTGAAAGCTGTTAGTTGCCAGGTGCCCAGCTCTTACGAAGTTGCACTGAAGGACCGTTGCATGTAGGGCTGATAGGTTGCCCTTTGTGAGTGGTGCCAAGGGAGATGCCAGCTGATCCCTGGGTTATGCTGAAAAAAACCTGAGTCTATGTGCTGTCCAAATCAGAAGCCTCTTGTAATGCTGGATATTGAGGTCGTGCACTTTTCAGTGGGTGTAAGAAACAGCATTTTTCCAGAGCAGTTTGTCTGAAGCACCCAGCTCATTGGGATCCACAGGCTGAGCTTTACTGCAATGTCAGAAGGCAGGAGGTGAGAATTAGCAGAGTCCTGAGTGCAGATCCTGGGCTGAAGAGCTTTGTAGAAAAGTGCCAGATAACGAATGTGCTTACAAATAATGCCAGGGGGGAGATCAGAAGAAAGAGTGGGTATTTGTGGTTGAAATTTATATTATGATACTTCTGAAGAAGTTAGAAATGGGAGCAGTAAGAAGACAGGGTCCTCTCTTAAAGCTCCTATGCAATTGCATTTATTCCACCTGCTGAAATGTCAGTGTGTTTATTTGCAGTAAATGAGGTCAGGACCTGTTTTGTTTCTTTGTCTCATCGGAGAAGCAAGCTAATTTTTTCTACAGAAGCAGTGTGCTACACTGGGTGAGCAGTCTGAACTCTTTCCTGGATAAATAAATTTTAGATGTCAATACAATTTAATCCATATTAAGTCCCTCAGCAAATGTCCCCAATCAATGATTTACTACCCTAAACAGTTTCTTTGTAGTGCATTTGCCTGTGTTTTGTAGGTCAGCAGTAACTAAGAATGAGGAAGACTTTTGTGGTGTTATAAATCCTTTGCTTACCTTGGCTTCTCCACCCTCTGTTAGCAAACTGCAGTTTCAAAACTCCTAGCCAAGCTCAGAAAGGAAGTATTCATGCAGCAGAGTTACTCCTGTTGGGTTTTATTCTTTCGTGACTTTTTTCTTCTGGCCACATTCACCTTCTGCACTGGGAGGGACCAGTCTTCAGACTTGGCTGTGCAGATCCTGGACTCAAGGAGAAATTCACCTTGTGCGAAAAGCTAATCTCAGCAACGAGCAAGCTGGATCCAGATGCAGTCTGAACAGGAGGCTGTGCAGCCAAGCGGCTCCTTACCCTTCCAGTTG